GATCCTGGGAGAGTAGACTACAATGCTGGCTGTTCTGACTTACAGGCGGTAAGTACGCTTCATATTTAATGAATTTGCCACTGACGATTCAAACGCGACTTTTGGGCAGTGTAGAGTAGTGCTACTTAAACCACATAAACACATTTCATTACACCAAATACACAAATTAACGTTCTTTTTAGCAACATCATATGACCCCTTTAAAATGTACTATAATGCAAAAAATATTATCAGTAAACACTAATGCAATATTTAGGGCTCTTTGGTTTTGTATTATATGACACCATATCATATGACTGCTGCTCAAAATTTAGTTTAGGCAAATTACTAGAACTTTCTGATGTACTGGAAATGGGTTTTGACCTTCAATAGTTTCGATGGTATTCACCTTTAGACTTCCTTTATTTCCTTTTTCCAAAAATGAAATCTCAGCAAACAGAGTCTTGGGTGGAACACATTGGATTTAAACGACTTTATTAAACCCCTAAATCTTGAGTTGACCTACCATCATTCAGGAGAGGGCTGTCTGACGTTTCCAAACCAAAGGGTCAGAGAATCCTCTCAGCTCTATGAGACATGTCACACTCCCCTAATCCACTCATTTCTCACAGGAACCAGTTTCCTAACGGTAAGCCAGTGCTCTCTCTTGCTGCCTTTCAAACGAGCCTCTCACATAAAAATGTTACGCCCCTTACCATACTGTGATGCCGTGTCCCGGCAGGATGAGACAAAAACATTAAAACCCATTAAAAATTAGGCATTTGTTGCATCCAGTGGGGACATAATTATGGATTATAATGACTTGTCTTTAAACATAAAACCATGTCTGCATTTGTGATCGGAGAAATGACAAACAACAAGTGCTACTCTACACTGCTCAAAACTTGCGTTTGAATCGTCAGTGGCAAATCCTTTAAATATGAAAACGTACTTACAGTCTGTGAGTCAGAACAGCCGGCATTGTAGTCTACTCTTCCAGGATCAGGAAACAGTTCTCCATAAAATGCGCTGCACACATCTGAATATTTGGGTTGAAGTGTTCTGGAACAGTGTTGTAAATACAACTTAACCACTGATTTCTAGTCGTGTCCTCTTTTGGAAGGCCAAACAAAGTAGTTTCGCTTTCGCAACGAAACACACAGCATCTTCACAACATGGCGGCTGCAGCAACAATAAAGTTACACCTTCTCTCTTTGCGTGAACATTTGGGCGGCGTTGTGCAAATCTTCCCACATCGTGACATAGACATGTGGGGGCGTGTTTAAATGAGGCGTTTTAGGAGGGCGTGGACGAGTCTCAACTTTTATAAAGAATATCTCTTTGGGTTTGAGACTTTAGTCTTTGCAACTTTAGGGATCTTATCTATTCACGAACAGCTTGTAACACTCCAAAGCGAAAGGAAAACGTGAAATCGCATCATATGACACCTTTAAATAAATTAAATTATAATTAAAATTTTTAATAAAAATCTACCTCAGCGTATGCTCTAAATAGTGAGCCCTTTTACATTAGGCTACTTATAAGGTTACCAAACTGAAATTTAATTACTATTTATTTTTAAATATAATTATCAACACTTAACTTGTATGCATTAAAATGTAAAAATATTAAATTTATATTTGTTGTTGAAATATATTTACACAGTGGCTGTCATAACTGTTTCATAATCAGTGTGCATTGTTGAATTTACTGGTTTACATTCAAATTTTCCTGTAAAAACTCTGTAAATTAGAGTTTTATACTGGAAGGCCAAACAAAGTAGTCCGTAAATGTGTTTACAGTTTTTCTGTATGTTTTACAAAATTATTCTGGCAACCACAGCTGCCAAAATTATTTTGTAAAAACTACAGATTTTTTTTTTACAGTGTAGCTCTTACCTTGTTTTGGAGGTGCTGGCAGTCGCCTCCTCAGTTTCCGAGATGAGCCAATGGTTTGTGTCTAAAACAAAAGTATTATGACAGTTATAGTCATTATAAGTCACATGGGCATGTAGGAATATGTGTAAGAATATTACTTAAAATATGAAGACAACACCTTGGTAAATTGGGTCTGTGGAGTTACATTAAGACCTGCATTTTTCAGAGAAGCAATTCTTGAGGAAATGTCTAAAACCTAGAAAAAAAAGCACAGATCAAAGCAAAAAGATATGAAAATGACTGTTTTTATTGTGAACAGCAATAAGACAACACCTTGGTAAATTGGGTCTGTGGAGTTACATTAAGACCTGCATTTTTCAGAGAAGCAATTCTTGAGGAAATGTCTAAAACCTAGAAAAAAAAGCACAGATCAAAGCAAAAAGATATGTTTTTATTGTGAACAGCAAGGTTTTGCAGAGAGACTGTTATATGAAATGTTATTGGCAGTTTTGGGACACCATGGTTAGTATGTTTGCATAATTCTATACAGTATGTGTAGTATACAGTATATACAGGTCTATATAGTATGTACTGTATATAGGAAATCTACATTATTTGAGTGTTATTCTAATATTATTTTTATATTCTTGTAGTGTTTATCAATATTTTTAGTTAGTTTTATCCTTATATTTTGAGTTTTCATTTCAATTTTAGGTAAAGTTGAGCAATTTTGTTATGTTTGTCATTTATTTAGTGGTTGTTTTTTCTATTTCTATTAAGCTTTAATTTATTTTATTTCAGTTGGTAATTATGGTACTTGTTATTTTATTTCAGTTCTACTGTCCGTTTAAGTTTTTCTAACGCCTATTTCTAATGTCCATTTGTGTTTTTCTTCTATTATTTATATTTCATTTAATTTTAGATTGTTTTAGTAATTTTGTTATGTGCTTTTGTCATTTTTATTAGTTTGTTTATTATTTTTATTTCTCTATTTTCTTTCTTTCTTTCTTTTTATTTTAGCTTTTTTTTCAGTTAGTTTCCAAAACAACATTTCTAATTTCCATTTAAGGTTTTCAGAAATGATTTTAGCAAATGGCTGCAATATAACAAAGAGTGAAAAATTTAAGGGGGTCTGAATACTTTCCGTACCCACTGTATATATATATATTTTTTTTTTTTTCAAATAACGAAAACAATTTAAATAAAGTAAACAAAAACATTTGTTATGTTGCTCATTAATTCAAATGTAACTGCATGAGAGAGCTATGAGATGCTGCAGCTGAGATTCAGAAAAAGAAAGATAGAGCACAGCGTCCAGGCCGAACACACCTGGAGCTCAGACTGCTGCACCTGGGCTGCTGCAGAGGCCACCTGGTCCTCCAGATGAGCGAGCTCTCCTTCAGTGGTGGATCCACTGATGCAGCGCGCACACTCCTCCAGATCCTGCAGTTCAGCCTCAAGCCCGTACACTGTCCCTGCCGCCACATACACCTGCACACAGTGAAATTAATTCGAATAAATTGAGAAGCAGCTCATAAATGCCCAGTGGCATGAGAAATGCTCATCTCAGGAAGAATCCGTACATTCTCCTCCAGTCTGCCGAGCTGCTCGTCCAGTCTTCTGGCCTCGTCAGGGGGAATGATCGAGACGTCACTGTGGTCTGACTGGCATCGTCCATTTCCCATAGATCCGTGAATCAGATCCTCAGTAGCGTTCAGTACTTTTAGCACCTCTGTGGTGATGCCGCGCAGTGATGCTGCTGAGTACTTCTATTCACGGTAAATACACAGAGGAAGGTACTGTAACGTTACACAATAACATTCACATTCATTTAAATGGAAATTAATGGGGCATGGGGCAAGTCTAGTGTGACCACACCTACATTAGCAAAATTATTAATACTGATTTAATGAATACAGTTAACATTTAAATACTTTTTTGGATGGACCAACTGCATGCCATATATTTTATGTAGGCTATACATCTAAAACAGGCTTTAGAATTAATCAATTATTCATGGATGTCCATTACCAACCACATAAGAAGAAAAATAATGCTTTGTTAAATCTTAATTAGTTCATAAAAAGCCACAATTAAAAGATAAAAAGTCAATTATGAGATTTAAAAAATGTGACCCTGGACCACAAAACCAGTCTTAAGTCGCTTGGGTATATTTTTAGCAATAGCCAAAAATACATTGTATGGGTCAAAATTATCGATTTTTCTTTTATGCCAAAAATCATTAGGATATTAAGTAAAGATCATGTTCCATGAAGATATTTTGTGCATTTCTTACTGTAAATATATCAAAACTTAATTTTTGATTAGTATTGCATTGCTAAGAACTTCATTTGGTCAACTTTAAAGGTGATTTTCTCAATATTTAGATTTTTTTGCACCCTCAGATTCCAGATTTTCAAATAGTTGTATCTCGGCCAAATGTTGTCCTATCCTAACAAACCATACATCAATGGATAGTTTATTTATTCAGCTTTCAGATGTTGTATAAATCTCAATTAAAAAAAAAGGACCCTTATGACTGGTTTTGTGGTCCAGGGTCACAAATGTAAAATATCTCATTTTTGACAGATTATGTCATGATTTTAAGTTTTATCTCAATTATGACTTAGTGTGTCATAATTTCTACTTTTTATCTCATAATTATGACAAAAAGCATGACATGTAGAAATTATGACATACTAAGTCATTTTTATCTCATAATCATGACTTAGTATGTCAGAATTTTTAAATTTTATGGAAGCTTTTTTTGTGTGTCTACATTTTGTAGGTTCTAATGCGAGGATCTGCAAGTGAGCTTGCATTGAGCTTGCATTGAAAACAAATGTGCCGTTTGGAGAGGCACTGAGTGGATTTAAACACCTCTGATTGGCCATTGCTTGGGCTCAATGTGTTCAACCAACATATCTATGATGGGTTACAATGCTCAATCCTGTGTGAAGAAAAACAAAAACAAAACAAAAACCCTTTGACCCAACTTGAATAAATCTAAATAGAATATTATAATCCACTTTCTTCATGTGGCAGCCATAATCATAATCATGATTATTTATTGATTAATTGTGTCCTAACAGAATGTAAAATGTGTAAATAATAGTGAGCCTAGTGTCAGATAGCAGATGAAAACATACAGAAAAGAGAACAAGTACAGTAGCCAAATAATGAGTGCAGAAATAAGAGCATACTGTCCATATCAGCATACAATCATCACCTGCTGTAGTATATTGGAGATTAAATGTAGGTTTTTCTCTATGTCCAGCATGTGTGCATCCTAATAAAGATCAAACAGAGGCACAAGACAAAGAAAGAAATAAGAAATATAGAAGAGCTTTAGAGAAATAGGTTAAGCAGATTAAATAAAAGCATGTTAGTTGCAAGCAACTAAGGTTACTTCAGCCTGTAGTGTTTAGTATAGTATACTGTAGTTAGTTGTCACCTTGTAGATCTCCTCCGGTGACAGATACTCCTCCTGACCAGATGGGGCAATGTGTTGAATTGTGGGGTCCCTCTGTTCCTCCCTGTTTTCAGTCAAGTCACCTTGACTATTGCCGTCCTTCTCTTGAACTCTCTCTTCTGATGATTTGCTGCATTGTTTGTCTTCTGTCTCCTCAGTATCTTCAGTGTTGCACTTTAGTGCCACAACTTCATTGATCTTGCCCTCTTCCTTCATTTCTTTTTCCTGCACCACCTTCGATTTTCCACCAACAAAGCATCCCTTAGATATTGTGTTGTCATCCGTTTCCTGTTCAGTT